GGGCACCCGTTTCGGGCTCTCAGAGGGCAGAGCTACCGGAGTGTTGCCGAGAAAGCGTCTACTTGGGAACTTGCAGAACTCGCTTCGGTCAAAGTGGGCAGGCTCCCCCGGGAATTGCCTGCGCCTCACTTTGGGGGCTTGAGGTCTTCATATCAAGGTGTGGTGTCTGGAGGGTGTGAGGGCTTAAGAAAGGGCTTGAGGGCTTGGAGGGTTGTAAGGCGAGGACTCGAAGCCTCGTGGTTCTTCCGTGCATTTCCGTGCTCACCTGCTTGTGTTCGGACGAGTGTCCTCGCACTTTTTGCGTGTAGACGAAATCGCGGCTCCTTTGCGTGGGTGCCATCAACTCTCAGCGCCGAAGGGGTTTTCATACTACAGCACTACAGCATGCGAAGGGGCCCAAAGCTCCTAGAAGCTCCTAGAAGCTCCTAGATGTTTTCAGGGTGTCGGGCCAAGGAAAGGCCGATGGGGTTGGACTCCACTCACTCGTAGACATACACCGCAGTGTACTACACGCAAGTGCACGAGCCGAGAGCACGGAAAGTGGGAACGCTCTTGAGAAGCTTGGGTTGGGATGTGCTTCTGTCCTTGAGATGCACTCAATTGGGGGGCACCTCTTCTCAGCTCAGAGCGTTGTGCAGGACACGTTGTTCAACGACGATGTGTGCTTCCAGCTCGGCGAATCTGCGGGGTTTTCGTCCGTTGTCCAGATGTCCAACAAGCTGTACGTCCTCCAGATGAAGAAGAACGTCTACAGGAAGAAAGGCTACAGGACTGGGTTTCAGGCATGGTAGACATGCGGCATGCGTTTAGCAAGAGGTGGCATGTCGCGTGTCATCGGCAATGGCGGTGGCCATATGGAAGGCTCCTTGAGGAGCCTTCAAGCTGGTAGCCTGGAGTCTGCAAATCGCCTTCGTCAGGATCATGGGGTATGGCCTACCCCTGTCTCAAAAGTATGTGAGGCGCGTCTACTTCTCGTACCTTCTGGAGAGCCTTGACTGCACCTGAAACATGCAGCGTACATAAACCTGTACAGTCTATAGATCAAAACTGCCGTGCCCTAGTAGCTGAAGCCCCTTACCTTGCCCGCTTCTGGCTCAGGGATGGCGTGCAAGTGGTGCTGCAGTCATGGACGTTGGCAATCAACACCCACCAGGCGCGACTGGTTTTCAGAAGTCAGAAGACCGCGGCGACCGCCCGTTTTCCCCGAAGTACCGATGCGCCTTCACGTTGGAGGGGGGAGCAGAAGTTGGGATTCATGTTGGGTAGACCCTACGAACATGCACGAACCGAGCTTTGCCCGGAAAGTAGTTCGCAAAACCCGGGAAAGAAATCAAACCAAAAAGCTCTCGCTGGCATCCAGCTGCCTCATCTAGGCCGTTCCAGAGAAAAGGGATAAATGGGGTTAGGGCCCGCAACAGGCGAGGTGTAGATTTTCATAGATGTCCCGGAGCTGCAAAGCCGGTGCCGCCGTTTGAAGGGCTTTTGCCCGACCTTGGCAGACCCAGTTGACTAGTCTGGGCCTCTGAGCTGGGCGCTCGCCTCGTGTTTTGTTTTTCGCCCTCCTTCCCCGGCATGTGAGGCGACGCGGACCCTGTGCGCGATGCGCGTGTGAGTGTAACTGAGGCACGCAAGCTGGCGCTGCTTCCGGCGCTGTCCCTGGCCTTGAGCTTCCTCATGGGCCTCGGGAAGATGAAGGAGATGATGTGGTTCTTCCAGGTTCGCAGGCTGATGGATGACATGGCTTTCAGGACAAGGGCCGAAAACCACGAAGTGGACAGGGCCGGGAGGGAGGAAGAATTCGAGGCCGGCCTAAAGGTGGTCGGCTGCCATGCGGGTGCTCGTGGGCCTTGCCGTGTTCTTGATGGCTGGCGCCTTGTTCATTGCGTGCTTCACGCTCTACGCGGCGCACGCCTGTCCCGGAGGGATCAGGTCTCTGAATGGATGCGTGGACATCCCGTGACATTCTCACTAGCTTTCGAGGGTGTTTACCCTAGTTCTGAGCCTGACAGTGCAGAGAGAGAAAGGAATGGAAAGTGGCCTGTGCTGTGTGTAAGCCTCACTTGTCTCTTGCTCCTCAAAGCCCATGTCGGGCCTGACCCCCACCCGAAGCCTCGCTTGTGCTTCATGTTCGTATAGCAGGAGGAGGGCACCGGGAGAGCCCTGAAGAGTCCCATAAGCGCCCCCGAGTCGGCGATAAGAACGGATCGCAGCGGCATTCGCAGCGAGGGCTCGCGCTTCCGGGGGCTGTGCGTGGCGCACACCTGGCACCCCCCGTTTAAGAAACATCAGCAAACCCCGAGATCCACCCCTTGAAAGAGGGGCAAACACATTGACGGGGGGGGCATCCCCAAGTCCGACACCCCGAGGATCCCCGAGGCTTTGCAGGAGAGAGCGCTGCTGAAAGTTGTGCGATCCTTCGCTCGCGTGCCATGTGTGCCATACTTGTCTCAAGCAAGCGTGGAGGGGTTCCGCGGAGACGGGAAGACATGCTCGGAAGCATAGCCTCTTAAGAGCTCTACACTGTGAATCACTGTGAGCTTGAAGGGTCGAGCGTGTTGCTTGGTTTCGGTATCCCGCACACTGTCGCCTGTCGCGCAAAGGGTAGACAGTGTCCACGGCAATTTTATCCACTGATCAATGCTGAAGCCTTTGAGGCGCCTTCGTACACCCCGCGAGCTCTGATGAGGCGTAGGAAAAGTCTCCCTAAGCTCCCGAGCTCCGAGCCCCTGTCAAAGAACGAGGGCTCGGGGTTCGTTGCGGCCATGGCCGCCGGCCCCCTGCCTGTGGCGGTGTGACGGCAGGCAAGGTTTGGGGATCTCGACCCCACAGCCCTACGGCCCGGAACCAATACCCTTCGGCCCCCCTTAAGCTGCAACTGGACCTCACCTGTAGGCCTGTAGGGATTAAGAGGGCCAGTGCCGTGTTGGGTGGGTTCTCTCCCTCTCTCTCCCTCTCTCTGCCTCTCTCTCCCGCTCTCTCCCTCTCTCTTCCTCTCTCTTCCTCTCTCTCTCCCTCTCTCTCTCCCTCTCTCTCCCTCTCTCTCCCTCTCTGGCGGATTCATGCCTGAGCCGTGCGGAGCTGGGGGCTGAGGGGGAGCGGGGCGACTGAAGCACAGCAGCACAGCCTTTTCGAAGGAACATGTCGGCTCACTTGGCGAGGAATCAAGTTCACCTGGCTTCTGCTTGCATGATCTGCATGGCGACTTTAGAGCTCCATTTTTTTTCGCCCGCTAGTCTTCCTGAACTTCGACCTCCTTCGGCAACGGTGGTTCTGCGGTTTTTTTCGGCGCTTCTTGAAAGTTACTTTAGTACGGACATATATTTTGGGTTTGTGCTCAGAATGAGCTCCGCGCTGTGGCCGCGGAAGCACGCGGAAGGTTTGGCGGAAGCATCTTCCCGCGGAAGCTCGCGGAAGCTCCGTCTTAAGCATAACTTATGAACCTTTCAACCCCAAACAGCCGCTGAGCATCGGTCCCTGGCGCCTGGCCGGTTTAGGGTTTAGGCTTTTGGGCTACGCTCCAAAAGTACCACGAACTAAGTAACAACAACCTACCCAGCAGCCCCGCCAACCTCGTCTAGCGCAATGGTGTTTGGATGGGAGGCGGGTGCGGGAAATCCGCGGAAGCTCCGCGGAAGCTCCGTGGAGTCCATTCTCGAGTAGTAGGCTTCCGCTTCGTGTAGCCTTGCTTGTGAAACACCATCTTCGACATGACGACGTAGTTCTCCGTTCAACAGCAGCAAAACGACGAACCCTGCACACCTGTGTCGCCTACAGATTTCATTGTTTTCATGTGCGGGTTCTGTCATTTCTTCTACGTGGTGTGGGCCGCAGACTATCCTACACCATGTGCTTGTTCGATTTCAACATCGACAGTCGTTCCGGAACTTCATGGGACACGTGCCTAAGACTACAAACATACTGCGCGGAAGGAACTGTACGAATTCACGCGAAAATGGCTCCGCGGAAGGGTCCGCGGCAGGAAGCTCTAAAAACATGCCCCGCGGAAGCTACCTTTCGAGGCGCGGAAGGTCCGCGGAAGGGTTCCACGGAAGGAAATAAATTTCCATGAAAACGCTGTCAAATAAAAACCATGGCTCAGATGTCAATTCTTGTGAGAACTTTGAGGATGTCGTGTAGCCCTTTTGCGTGCAGAGAGTACCAGCTACAGCTATGTCTCGTCTTTAGTCCTATAAGGTCATGTTCACTTGGCCTTGCATACAGCTGCACAAGCCCGTTGAGCTTGTAGACATGAAGGCCCAAGAGTGCCATACGATGAGAGAGTGCAAACAGTTTGTCCACTGCGAGCCTTCTGGAAGAGCAATTTTCGTAAAAAGCAGACGGAAGGCTGAGTCTCTTCGCGGCAGCAGCTCAGTGAAGCAGACAAGGCACGGAGGGCGTTTAGTCGGATTTAGTCGCTGTGGAATGCGAGCCCATGTGAGCCATGTGTCCCTGGAAGGCGGGTTTGAGATCCACTGAACCTGCTGCCAGCATAGAGGAGTCGGAGCACGGTTTCAAAACGAAGCGCCCGAAGCGCCTGCGTGCGTGTCGAGGTCCGGGTCAATCATCAGAGCGCGGGGTAGAGCACAGCACGGCACGCTCTGCAGACGTGGATTCTTCCGCCTCGCCAGCTTCATCTGTCATCTGGTACAGTGGGTACTCAAGTGCTACTTGTGTAGGTCCAGTGCAGACCCTTCAGTTCATTCCCTGACCCCTTCTTGAGCCCGTCCGATCCTTTTCAGACGTGCAGCTCCATATAGTCTACGGACGATGCCTACAGGCGTATACAGCTCCATGGTCCATGGTACACAAAGACAATAAGTGACAGCCGCTGACGACTTGTTCCCAGCGATAACGAATCGCAAGACCCCGTTTCACCTCGGCCTTGTCTGGTCGACCATTTCGTTGATGGTTTCCAGCTTCCAGCGCCCCGAGCTGCTCCTCGGGCGCGCTAAGCCGCTAAGCTTCATTGCTGACGCTGAGGGCCTGCGGCGGCCGGCGCAATGGGCTGCTGCCAGGCTGGGATGATCCTCATGCTCGGAATGATGCACAGGTCTAGCAAGCAGTGCATCTGTGAGCGGCAGTCATCATTGCATGCACACGCTTACTGTCTGTGATGAGGGCTCAGGCTCTGTGCCTGTGGAGTCACCGAGCAAGGACGCAGTGGAGAAACGCATGCAAGCTCCAAGAAAGCAGCAGAAGCTTCACCGCCCGCAAGCTTGTAAGTCTTGCTTCCTTGCACCATTTTCAGTGCAAAGCCAGGACAGACTGCCTCCTATCTCCGGAGCAGAGGTCTCGCATTGTGTGCACTTGCCAAGTCGTGCTAGCATGCGATTCATTGCCCATAGTAGCGCTTCCTTGCCTTGTGTTCGTACATGCCCCTCCCAGACAACGGACATCCGAATCTGCACATCCTGCCCGTCAAACCTCTACAACCACGTCGAGGCCTTATGCAGCGAGCTGGATATCAGGACGGCCTTTGGCAGGAAGGGCGACTTCATGGAGGACACAGAAGGCGAAGCTTGGTTCGGCAAGTGGCAGAACAGAGTCTTGCAGTCACTGGACGACGCCCTCCAGACGAAGAAGAGCGAAGGGCGCTTTACCATCTACAGCTTAATGATCACCGACGAGGACAACGAAAACTGCAAGCTGGAGCAAGAGGACATGGAGAAGTTAGCCAATGCGCTACAGTTTCAGAGAGACTCGTTGAGTTTCGATGTCATTCGTCAACTGGTGTGCGTCCAAGACTTGACCACGGAGGTTGGCACCATGACCGGTCGGTTTCTTGTGTTTGTGGTTGAACCGGCAGGTGCCCGAAACACCAAACCTCAAAAGCAGAGGGTTCAACATGTAAGCCATGTAACCGGATGCTTCCTCTCCCTTCATGACTGATGCCCAGGTAGTTTGCCCAGAGAGGACGGGCGTTCCGCTGAAATCAACTTTAGTAGTCAGAGCTGAGTGCGGAAACGTCTTGTCACTCGAGTGAAGGCAATGACGTGCCTAATCGTGCTGGCGGGTTGTTGAACTGTTGGGGTTTTTTCATGCCAGGAGCACGACGTCCAGCGGGCTTACAAGCAATTCCTCAGGTCGGGCAAGCACAAAGATGCCTGGTCCTTCTACCTGATGACCATGGCATTGAAGGTCCATGGCCTTGCTAGATATTTTGAGGGGTTGAGGCTGCCTCTACTAGTATGTTGTTTGCTCGCCCTCTCCGCGAATTGCACATGTCGTGAAGAGTCCGTAAGCACTCTCTGGTGGCGCTGCGGAAGCTGGAAGATCCCATGTTGCAAGGGCACTTCGCAACTAAAACAACGCCTCCGCAGGTGTGTGTCACAGGAACTCAAGTTGCTTTCGGATGTTAGCTATGTACGATGTGTGCTTTGATCCATCATGTTTATCATTATTGGACATCTCTCTCTCTCTCTCTCTCTCTGTCCTGTATCACCCCACCCCTCAGAGATCTACACCTCGTCTGGTATAGCATAGTCACCTACCTTGGTTCCGAATTATTTGGTGTTCTTGAGGCTTGAACTCCAAGCAGCTTTTCAGTAGCGATCGGCACAGAAGAACTCTAAGGGAAGCAACCAAAGCCCGAATCCTAGTCGTGTTGGTTGGGCGTCAGCGGCTTGGCAGGCGCAGACCTCTTCACCAGGACCGTCAGTGCAGATTCTGATCGAGCGAAGCGACATCGTCGGATCTATCCTGACAGGAAAAGGAGCTCATCAGCCGAAAGATTGCGATCTTAGGTTCTGCGAGAGAGTCGAGTGGCTCATCAAGTGTGCGGAGGCTTCACGACGCATCAGGCCGATTGTGGACAAGCGCTGGAAAATCCCGATCAGGTTCGACCCACAGAGCCGGCTCACTCAATGGGCCGTGGCGCAAGAACTGGACCTTTCAGAAACGAACGTGGACTTCGAGAGAGATTTCGCAAGTTGCATACAGGACTTCGAGAGAGACTTCGCAAGATGCGTGCAGGACGTGGTCCTAAGCAGCGACAATAGAAAAGGTCAACTCCGGCTTCAGCTTTTCAAAAGATGGCACTGCGCATCCGGCATTCAGGCGGCGTCCCAGAGGGAGGAGGAATTGAAGTGGATCTTGCAGGAAGCAACAGCAGCAAAGCTGCCGCATGACCTTCTGAATGATGTCGAATTAATGCTCAAGCAGTGCCAGGAGAAGCGGCAGAAGGACCCCTGTATTGGTTTAACCACCGTATGCAAGTCAGGCAAGAGAATGAGCACGAGAGAGAGAGAGAGAGAGAGAGAGCGTGATGATTGGCAACTAGTCGTTCTCCTCTGGGCACTGCTTTGCGCGGGGCTTCGGCCGCCAGGCCCCATGAAAGTACGCCACCAGTGTATAACTTGAGTTGAGTCTCATACGGTTGAAACTTGACCGCTGCTGTTGCAGGACGTTTTGTATTTTGTGGAGATGCTGCACTTGAGGCCCAAAGTGCAGTTTGCCCGTGTTGGACTCAGTCTCTAACAGAAAGCGGAACATGCGGAACTCTCCATGGTGTGACCCGCAGTGGGCTTCCTGCTTCTTATTATTAGACTCCTTTGTGCACTCCATCAGGACACCTGCAGCTGCTCGAAGCATGCCGTTAACCCCGCGCCACCCAGAAGCCCCAGCCAGCGCCAGGGTCCAAACCAAAAATGTGAGCTGGCACCGGTGATTCTCCTTCTACTGCGCAGTCTGGCATCTAGCTTAGTGACATGAGAGCAGGGGCCTGGTGCGCGAATGCATGTTGGGTGGGCTTCTTTCACTGACTTGTGCTCCCAGCTGCTTTCTTCCTCCACTCCACTTACCCCCCACAGCCGGGAGCCCCATGCACCAGCATGCCGAGTGCCCTGAGAACATCCTTTGCGTAGATCACCTTTGGGCACGCTCGGCTCATGGGCCTCTGAAAAATGCGAAGGCTTCACGACTTGGAGTGTATGTGCCCTATGATGCATGCTGCTGGCTGAGGCTATCATCGCAAGCACGAGCACGATCCCGAGAAGGAAGGCAAGTGCTTCTGCTACAAGCTTTACGGCCAAAGGATGGGTTGGGGGTGCAGCTGGCACAAAAGGTATCTTGAATATGTCCGTGAAGCGGTTGCAGCCATTCAGAAGGGACAGGAGGGAGATGAGGTGGCCTGGCAATACCATCGCGTGGACGAGCATGGCCTCAAACAGGATTTTCCAGAAGGCTATCCGGTGGATGCATGGTGCGAAGTGACGAAGTCATGGCGCCGAGGAGTCGTGAAAGAGAAGCGAACAAGGCAAGAGGATGGCTCAGCCAACGCGGAGGCATGCTGGACCATTCGATGCGAGCATGGTGACAACACCTTTCACTCTGCAATCGTGTGCGACACATCTCTGGCTACAAAGGAGTTGTTGGACCATTTTGGCGGGGCCCTTAAGAACGAGTCAAGCGGATTGTCGGCTCGAAGCTCCAGCTTTCTTTGCCATAACATCTCACAGCTTAGGCCGTAGGATACGCGCTGACACATCATGGGTTCAATGCTTGGGAACGCCAAACAGCGTGACTTTGTGAATCAGGGTCGTCGTCCACATGCCATATTCTGACGACTCTGCTTCCAGACGACCCATCAAGCTAAGGTCATCTGAAGCTCCGGGAGATTTTCACTGAGTACCTTGAGCGTGTCAGCGTGCTGGATGTCTGCACGTCTCGGCTCGGGTCCGACGTTTCTGTCTTGATGATAAAGCTTGGGGTGCCAACCATCGGCTCCTTGCATCACCTCAGGGATCGCTTCTTCAGTGGCAAGCTAGAGGAGGACATCACCAGAGGTCTGTCAGATTGGCACGTTGAAGTAGACAATGGGCACTTCCTGGAGTTCTACGAACACACGTTGCTGGCTTTGAAGGACCTTACACCTCACCAGAAAAAGCATCTTCAGGATATCCAACAGTGGGATCAGGTGCACCTGTCAGCACCGGCCGGGGCCGGCAAGACTTTTGTGGCAGTGCAGCGTGTCATCAATGTTCTCACCGAAGAGACAGAGGAGCATCCTGCTCATGTACTCTATGTGGCTCCTACACTTGAGCTCGTCTACCACTTCATACAGTGGACGGTTGCGCGACTGGCGTCGCAAGTGGAGTCGGGGCTTGAGATCAACCAGCTTCTACGGCGCATGGTGGTCCTGCACAGCCCTTACCGAGAACTTCTTTCACCTACACTGGACCAAGAGGATCGGCGCATCACCCTGGAACTTGCGGGCAGCATCGACAAGTTTGCACTCCAAGTCGTTGACGAGAGCCACACCCTCTTCGCAGAGGGTGTGGACCAGGGCATTCTGGCAGATCTCAAGAGCCGCAGGAGGCTGCTTCTCTCGGACGAATCGCAGGCTGCAACGGTGGGCACCAGATACCCCGAGATGCACCGAGCCAACCTTACTGAGGTCGTCCGAAGCACGAGGCAGATCGTGCTGGGCGCAAGATCCTTCCGCTCTGACACCGGGGCCGTCACATCCGCCGGCACAGATGGGCCGCCCCTGAAGTCCTTCCTCTTCGATGGTTCGGACGCCAGAAGTGAGTTTGAGCTCTACGCCCAGCACGTCGCAGATGCCATTGCGCACGTTGCAGATGCATATCCCAACATCAGTCTCCACCAGCGACTCGCGCTGCTAGTCCCGGATGAGAAGTTTCTCAAGCAACTGAAGACGGCCTTGGCGCCTGTCTTGAAGAGCAAGCTTCCTGACCGCCACCTTCACTGCGTCTCCTTCCAAGAGTCCTTGCGCTCCCTGCCGGAGCTGTTTCGGACCCTCGGCAGCCAGCCTGTGCAGAAGCCCCAGCAGCAGTTCGAGCACATCGTTCTGGACACGGTGAGCGTCACAGATGGCCTGGAGAAGCTCATCGTCATGTGTATCGGGCTGGATGCCCCGATTCGCCGAGGTGCTGCCGACCTCGTTACTCGCGCAAACCTGTACAAGGGCATCACGCGGGCCCAGCTGAAGGCCATCGTGGTGAATAAGCGCGTCCCGGAGGGCTGGTTCGACTTCCTCACCAACGTCCGTTTCTCCGGCAAAGAGCTTTCCGAAGAGGAGGCATCGAAGTACGGCTCACAGGCCGCAGCGAAGATCTGCCAAGAAGCAAAGGACGGCATAGGCAGTGCCGCGCAGGAAGAAGAGCCAACGCACGACAGCAGAAGCAGAGAGGAGGCCAGGCCGCAGCCAAGCGTTCCGGATGAAAGGCAGGCGGATCTGAAGAACGAGAGTTCTCACGTAGAAAGGTCTCAGCAAGAGACAAAAGCTACAAGCAGGAAAGCCGATCCAGACATGTCTCAGCCGCAGACACACAGCACCAGCACAGCCGAAAGGGAGTCTGAGTTGACAGGAGACTCGGAGACGACGCCACAGCACGAGTCTAGCATCTGGGACACCAGAAGCAACACGGTTTCGGCTCATGCCCGGAAGCCCATCTTCGATCCATTCGCCGAGGACTGGCGGTCTTGGGATATATCCCAAACCCTAAGCACTAAAGAGCCGCTAAGCCGCTAAGCCAAGCTTATGGCCTTGCCGTGGTGTCCACCGCAACGCAAGTAAGTACATGCGGACCTGGTGGAAAGCCTCGTCAGAATATCCCACAGTGTGTCCGATGATGTCTAGTTTTTTGGGACATCCAGGAGAGCCGAGTTCCGGTCAATTCCGAAGAGTTCCTTCTCGACCCGATGCCCCAGGACTGGAGACTGCCTTGTTGCGTTTGTTGCTTTGTTCTGTGCTTGTGCCTTTCGTTCCGTTATCGGGTGCTTGGAGTTGTCGTCTCATCGTTTTCGCATGGATGTTTCCATGGGCAGGATTTGGAGGTGCGTGCTGAGGGTACCGCAAGTTTTTGCCAGTCTTCCAAGCCGCAAGCCCCGAAGCCGCAAGGGCCAAGGCCTAAAACCTCCAAAGCCCGTACCCACGAAGCACAAGCGAGAAGAAGACCTCTCCGAAAATGTTGTCCTCAACTTCGGAGACAGGAAGAGAGAAGACCCGCAAATCCCAAAAGGCTGTGGACACCCTCTATAGCACCTATAGTGCATCGCCTACGTGCGGAGACAGTCAAAATCTTTCGACCAGAGCCCGCGATCTGCCAAGTGAACCTTAGGAATCTCAAGCTGCCCTTGCTTGAAAGTCTTTTGAACCTGCTTGAAAGTCTTGAAAAGTCTTGAAACAAAATCTTTGAGGATCTCATGGAAGTTGGGTCTCCCGGGAGTCACAGCGCGTCGGGGCGGGGAGGGAGGGAGGGGAGAGGAATGGAGTTCCGCTGCAGTATACGGCCAGCGTACACAGCTGAGCTGCCTCCATTTTCAGCAGAATCCGGCACCCTCGCACATCGTCTAGCAGGCAGGAACTTCACGGGAAAGGGTCGCGTCGGGTCGGATCAACCAGGCGTGTCGTGCGGGGCATGCGGCCGTGCAGAGTCTACGCAGCTACGCACAGTCGGCCTTCAGCCGGCGCATGCTCCGAGATGCCCACGAGCTTATCCACGATGGAAGGGCGAAGCTGAAGTACACATGGAGAATCCCGGTGCCTGCAGCAGCTTCAGCTTCATGGCAGACCTGTACAGGACCAGCCCAGGGAGCCTTTCGATGAGGAAGCAGAGAGTTGGCAGAAGGCTCGCAGCGAACTTTGGTTTTGCTCTTGCAGCGGACTTGCGCATTGTCCCTGTGCACCGCCTGTTGTTGTCAGGGTGGTGGTTGCAACATGCATCTTTTTTGTAATTAGACAGCAGCAACAGCAGCGGCGGCGGCGTAGGGGAAGGCATCTCCAGGCGAGACCCAGAGCTCCTATTGCTTGCTCTTGGGCTGAAGACCCCCAATTTCGGAAGCTGCGCTGGCCGCAGGGTCAATGTCCTGTTGTCCACTCTGAACCAGTCCTGGGGCCTGGACGTAACAGAGAGCTTGCAAAGAGCCACTTCTGGAAGCTCGAGGCCGTGTCCCTGTTTAGAAACCCAGACACCTCTGATGGAACCCCCGATGCCGCGTCCCTCTCAAAGAGAGGCGCCCCTGACATGAACAGGGGATGCTATGAGACACTAAGCATCTCTAAACACGATATAAATGAGATGGGGCGTGGCAAGCCCTGACACCGAACATGATATGGGGGTTGGGAGTCCTGACCGTTGGCTGGCAAGGGTTAGTGGCCAAAATCCTGGAAGGGGAGATGTTGGCTGGCAAGGCCTAAGGTGCGGAAGCCCTGAACCCTACAAGAAAGTGAAAATATAACCGAAGTGGGGCTCTCATTGCGCCCGCATCATGGGAGCATGGGTGTTTGTGATCTCATGAACCTTTTTAGCCCAACCCCCGATGCCAGCGCTTTCAAAGAGAGGCGCATCTGAGACGAACAGGGGATGCTATGAGACCCCCAAGCCGCCAAAGGAGATGTTGGCTGGCAAGCCCTCTAAGCATCTCGAAACCCTATATACATGAGATGCTGACACCGAACAGGATATGGACGTTGGGAGCTGACCGTTGGCTGACAAGGCCCAAAAAACTGAGCCCTCGAAAGGGGGATGAAAGGGGGATGTTGGCTGGCAAGGCCTAAGGTGTGGAAGCCCTGAACCCTACAAAAAAGTGAAAAGTATAGGGTTCAGAGATGTGGCTGGCAAGTCCCAAAACCGAGCAGGTGGGGAGTGCTTCTGAAGCCTTAGAAGGCACCAAAAAGCGACGGCCTGGAGGCTAAAAACGGGCACGGGGGAGTGGTAAGCCTTGACTCCAAACACGATAGGCTGCGAGACCTGTCCAGAGCCTCCAGAGCCCTGCTCAAGTTGTCGTGGCAGCGGTTTCTTTTCCGTTTTCAGTTCTTTTCTCAGAAATATCACTGGCAGAGTGCACATGCGTAGCGCCATGGGTGTATATGCGGGCGCGAAGGATCCCAAAACGGAGCCAGCGCATCCATGAGCAGCTTCTTCTGATGGTCGCATCGCCAACGGCGTCCCAAAAGCGCATACCCTGAATGCGGTGGGTGATTGCTGCTCCTGCCAGGTCAAAGAAGCCTTTCGCGCCGACAGTTTCGACGCGGCCTCTGCATTGGCAGCGCTGAAGAACTTCGCAGCGCCGGGGCTCCCCTACCCTGATGAAGCGCGCGCGTTCGTGGTGCAGGCGCCGCAAAATCTCGTGTGTGGTGGTATGGCATGGAGGTCGCATAAACGCCTTTCACCGGGCCCAGGAAAGCAAAAGAGTGATGCGGTGTGGAGGCCTGCAGCTCAGCTCGCGGTAGGCAGGAAGCAAAGCTCCCAGAAGCCCCCCAGCAGAGTCCCCCTGCCGAGCTGCTGCCGAGGTGATGTCGAGAGAGCAGCCGGAGCTGCTGAAAGCGGGGAACTCGAGGAGTTGCTGATCCTGCTCCTTTTCGGCGTCGGCGAGGCGAGAAGCCGTGACCTGAGACATGAGCAGCACAAAAGCCCAAAATGTAGACGTTTCTTTTTTGGAGGGGATGATGCCCCTCTCCCTCCCTCCCTCAAGTCTTCTTTGGTATAACATCCTCTTCGACCCGCTCTTCCCCCAAAAAGGAGCGAGCGCCACCCCGAGACCCGCACACAACCCATTCCCCCGCCGCACCTGCCCCGCGTGGGGCACCCGGAAACCCGCCAGGAGCTGGACATGCGCGACTGCTGGACAGTCCCCGCGGAGGCCTGGCGGCAGCTCCGGGACGCGCGCTGGGAGAAGCTGCAGAGAGCCAACTTCTACGCGTGCCTCGGAAGGAGGGGAGATGTTTTCGGCTTCCCTGCTTTCTGTATGCGTAGAGGTGGCGCCGTGTGGGCTGTCCCCCTCCACAATGGGGCGTCTCCCGCCTGGAAGAACCGCCGGCCCAGGTGTTTCAGCCGCAGCTCCCAGGGCGCAGAGGGCGCCGGCGCCCTGCTCTCGGCGTTGGCTCGGTGCAGCCAGCTCCAGGACACACCGAGCAAAGGGAGGTCCAAGGTCCTGACGACATAATGCCCTGCATGCCCAGATTTCTAAAACATATCAGCTCTAGGGTCCCGAAAGGGCCCTGTTCTAAAGGAGCTCGCGGATTGCAAGTGTTCGAAACAAGAATTGATAATCCTAGGTTGTTTTTTGAAGGAGAGGCGAAATGGGTGCTTCCAAAATCTTCGTGATACTGCTGGATGTCTCTCGGGCCTATAGTGATGATAGAAACTCGGGGTTGTAATGAGCGACATCTGATGGGACGATCTAAAGCCCGGCTCCCTATAGAATCGCAGCCTCGCATCGTGATGAAGATCCTAAACCCTAAAACCCTAAAACCCTAAAACCCTAAAACCCTAAAACCCTAAAACCCTAAAACCCTAAACCCTAAACCCTAAACCCTGAACCCTAAACCCTAAACCCTAAAGAAGTTCCTGTGACAAGCTACTGCTCTAGGACCCCTCAAGATTTTCTTGGAGACCATGGTTGAGAGTTTTGGTTTCTAGGTTTAGGGTTTACAGTGTTAGGGTTTAGGGTTGAGAGTTTTGGTTTATATGGATATACGGTTACGGGGTTATGGGGTTATGGGGCGATAAGGCGAGTTAGGGTTATAGGTATTGTGTAGGGCATCGGAATCAATCGGAGGGTCATTTTGACACGAAACCTGCTCTCTGTAGAGTTTGGTGGGCCCCTTAAACCCTAAACCCTAAACCCTGAGCCCTCAACCCTCAACCCTCAGCATGAATCCCTTGAACCATCCACGGTGGCGCACCTCATCTGCAACCTGCATTAACTCCCAAGCTCGGTTGCAACGCTTTGTGGATTCAGCCTCGGCACCCTAAGCTCTTCTCACAGAACTCCCTCCAGGCTTTTCAGGCCTTTGGGGCGATGGAGGGAAATTCGCCCTCGGCTTTTTTGGAGGGTTTGAGGGTTTCTTCATCATGAGGCCGCTACGCTTTTAAGTAATCTGTAGTATACCCATTTTCGACCCGCTTTTTCCCCTCAAAACTAGAGCCCTCGCCGACTCAGAGCGCCACCCCCGAGACGAGACCTGCGCGACCCGTTCCCCCCCCGCATGCACCTCCGTGGGGCACCCGGAAACCCGCCAGGAGCTGAACATGTACAACTGCTACGAAGTCCCCGCGGAGGCCTGGTGGCAGCTCCGGGACGCGCGCTGGGAGAAGCTGCAGAGAGCCAACTTCTTCGCGTGCCTCGGAAGGGGGGGGGGTGGATGTTTTTTCGGCTTCCCTGCTTTCTTTGTGCGTAGAGGTGGCGCCGCGTCGGCTGTCCCCCCTCCACATGGGGCGTTTCCCGCCTGTAAGAACTGCCCGGCCCAGGTGTTTCGACGAACGCTCTGAGGGCGCGGAGGGGGCCGGCGCCCTGCTCTCGGCATTGGCGCAGTGCAGCCAGCTCCAGGACACGCGCCGAGCAAAGGGAGGTCCAAGGTCCTGATGACATAATGCCCTGCATGCCCAGATTTCTAAAACATATCAGCTCTAGGGTCCCGAAAGGGCCCTGGTCCAAGTTCGAAACAAGAATTGGTAATCCTAGGTTGTTCTTGAAGGAGAGGCGAGAGGGTACTTCCAAAATCTTAGTGATGCTGCTGGATGTCTCTCGGGCCTGTAGTGCAAGGAAACTCGGGGTTGTCATGAGCGACATCAAATGCGACGATCTAAAGCCCGGCCCTATAGAATCGCAACTCGCATCGTGATGAAGATCCTAAACCCTAAAACCCTAAAACCTCCTAAAACCCTAAAACCTCCTAAAACCCTAAAACCTCCTAAAACCCTAAAACCTCCTAAAACCCTAAAACCCTAAAACCCTAAAACCCTAAAACCCTAAAACCCTAAAACCCTAAAACCCTAAAACCCTAAAGCCTAAAACCCTAAACCCTGAACCCCTAAACCCTAAAACCCTGAGCCGGAGGTTGAAGAAGTTCCTGTGACATGCTTATAGGGTTTATGGTTGAGAGTTTTGGTTTATGTGGCTATACGGTTACGGGTTTATGGGGTTAGGGGGGCTTTAGGGCGAGTTAGGAGGGGCATAGCGTTTATTGTGTAGGGCATCGGAATCAATCGGAGGGTCGTTTTGAGACGAAGCCTGCTCCTTTGTAGAGTTTGGTGGGCCCCTTAAACCCTAAACCCTCAACCCTCAACCCTCAGCACGAATCCCTTGAACCATCCACGGTGGCGCGCCTCATCTGCAACCCGCATTAAACTCCCGAGCTCGGTTACAACGCTTTGTGGATTCAGCCTCCTCACCCTCAGCTCTTCTCACAGAACTCCCTCCAGGCTTTTCAGGCCTTTGGGGCGATGGAGGGAGATTCCCCCTCGGCTTTTTTGGAGGGTTTGAGGGTTTCTGCATCATGAGGCCGCTGCGCATTTAAGTCTTCTGTAGTAGAACCATCTTCGACCCGCTTTTTCCCCTCAAAACTAGAGCCCTCGCCGACTCAGAGCGCCACCCCCGAGACGAGACCTGCGCGACCCATTCCCCCCGCCTGCACCTCCGTGGGGCACCCGGAAACCCGCCAGGAGCTGGACATGTCCTGGTGCAAGAAAGTCCCCGCGGAGGCCTGGCGGCAGCTCCGGGACGCGCGCTGGGAGAAGCTGCAGAGGGCCTACTTCGGAGCGTGCCTCGGAAGAGGGGTGGATGTTTTTTCGGCTTCCCTGCTTTCTTTATGTGTAGAGGTGGCGCCGCGTCGGCTGTCCCCCCTCCACATTGGGGCGTTTACCACCTGCAAGAACCGCCCGGCCCAGGTGTTTCGGCGACCGCTCTGAGGGCGCGGAGGGGGCCGATATCCTCCTCGCTGCGTTGGCGCGGTGCAGCCAGCTCCAGGACACACGCCGAGCAAAGGGAGGTCCAAGGTCCTGATGGCATCATGCCCTGCATGCCCAGATCTCTAAAACATATCAGCTCTAGGGTCCCGAAAGGGCCCTGGTCCAAGTTCGAAACAAGAATTGGTAATCCTAGGTTGTTCTTGGTACTTCCAAAATCTTTGTGATGCTGCTGGATGTCTCTCGGGCCTGTAGTGCAAGGAAACTCGGGGTTGTAATGGGCGACATCTAATGCGACGATCTAAAGCCCGGCCCCCTATAGAATCGCAACTCGCATCGTGATGAAAATCCTAAACCCTAAAACCTAAACCCTAAAACCCTAAAGCCCTAAAACCCCAAAACCTCCAAAAACCCTAAAACCCTAACCCTAAAACCCTAAACCTTAAAACCCTAAACCCTAAAACCCTGAGCCGGAGGTTGAAGAAGTTCCTGTGACATGCTTCTAGTGTTTACGGTTTAGGGTTGAGAGTTTTGGTTTAGCCATATACGGTTACGGGGTTACGGGGTTATGGGGCTATAGGGCGAGTTAGGGGTAGAGCGTTTATTGTGTAGGGCATCGGAATCAATCGGAAGGTCATTTTGACACGAAGCCTGCTCCTTTGTAGAGTTTGGTGGGCCCCTAAACCCTAAACCCTAAACCCTCCACCCTCAACCCTCAACCCTTGGCACGAATCCCTTGAACCATTCACGGTGGCGCACCTCATCTGCAACCTGCATTAACTCCCAAGCTCGGTTCTCGGCACCCTCAGCTCTTCTCACAGAACTCCCTCCAGGCTTTTCAGGCCTTTGGGGCGATGGAGGGGCATTCCCCCTCGGCTTTTTGGGAGGGTTGATGGTTTCTTCATCACGAGGCCGCTACGCTTTTAAGTCTTCTGTAGTAGAACCATCTTCGACCCGCCTTTTACCCCTCAAAACTAGAGCCCTCGCCGACTCAGAGCGCCACCCTGCGCGACCCATTCCCCCCCACATGCACCTCCGTGGGGCACCCGGAAAACCCGCCAGGAGCTGGACATGCGCAACTGCTACAACGTCCCCGCGGAGGCCTGGCGGCAGCTCCGGGACACGCGCTGGGAGAAGCTGAAAAGAGCCTACTTCCCTCAGTGCCTCGGAAGAGGGGGTGGATGTTTTTTCGGCTTCCCTGCTTTCTTTATGTGGAGAGGTGGCGCCGCGTCGGCTGTCCCCCCTCCACATGGGGCGTTTCCCACCTGCAAGAACCGCCGGCCCAGGTGTTTCAACGATAGCTCCCAGGGCGTAGAGGGGGCCGATATCCTCCTCGCCGCGTTGGCGCGGTGCAGCGCCCTTCAGGACACAACACGGCGAAGGTCTTGTTCAGGCCTTTGGATTCAGACTCGGCCCTTAACTCGACTTGCGCCGATCAGGCCCTTTAGCGGCTTAAGCGGGGCACACAGAGGAATGTTTTCGATTTTGGCCATGGAAACTACACGTTCATGACGAAGTCGAAGCACTGCAGCACCGCCAATTTGCACTAAACACGGAAGATCTCCCCGAACCTTGACTGGTAAAAGAAACTCAGTTCCAAATGAGACCTTCCGTAGTTGAGCCCGTTTCGAGTTAAGGGGCTTTGAGGCGATGAGTTGTGGTCCGCTTGTTGTCACGGTGTGTGGGTGTGCCCTCTTTGAGCCGTTTCGTATATAAGCACCTCCCAGCCCCTTGGAACCTGGGGGACGCTGCGCCTCTGGGGGAAGCTCGGTGGAGCCTCGCTTTCTTCGCCCCTGAGCGCCAGGAGCTCTACATGGTTTATTGCGAGCGCATCCCCGCCGCAGCATGGGAGCAGCTGAGCGACGGCGTGTGGCCAGCTCTTCGAGAACACTCTGGCGTCCCAGAGCGACTTTTCCGGCGTGCGTGAATTGGCAGCGCTGCCCCTGCAAAGCGTGCTTGAGTCGGGCTTGGCATGTGTCATCTGTAGCTCCATCTGTGGCTACTTGCACTTGCCAATTTGGGTGGTTCGGATTCAGGTTGCTGTCTGTGATTCCACATGCGGACCTGCCCAGACCTTGGATATCAGACCCTGCAAGAAAAGCAGGGCACGTTTCGTCAGGCCTCGTGTTGCGCAAAGGAATGGCCGGACTGCAAAGCAGCTGCGAAAAAAGGCAGGGCGCGCAGGGTTCTCCAAACAACTTGCTGACCAAACAGCCACAGCATCACCTACATCAGCAAAGCACAGTGCCAGGCCGCATTCTTCGACCGGTATGCAGCAAAATCGCGACCGATACGACCTTGGAACCCACGCATGGGGTTCGGGCTACGTAGGCTTTGGCAGCTTGTTGAGCAGTCGGAGCTCCACAGCGGTGGTTGGATGGGGGGATACCTGAATGGTCAACGCAGGATCGACTGAACAATCTCTAAGCCTTTAAGCATCGCTTCCAACTGCAAGCAGCCCTTCGGCCTTTGCAGCTCCGTAGGTCCGAAAACACTCTCAACACACTGGGGTTGTGTGGGCTTTGCTGTCGCATCGGAAGCCCGAGCCGCTGGCTGAAGCCGCCTTGCCTCAAATTCGGGGTTCTGAGCTCTATCCAGCATTTAGAGTCAATCTTAGCTCATTGCCCAGTTTCATCTTCCACCGAAACGCACCCCGGAGAGATGTGGGAGCCGTGGGCGAGTCCCTCAACCCCCAGGTCGTCCTCAAGCATGAAACCTCAGCTTGCCGCCATGTAAGAAAGTGGGGCGCAGCAATCGCCATGGCCCTCCGAGGCCATGCCTGGAACATCGAAATTTGTTGTTGTGACTAAGCGATGGGTCACACTTAGCAAGCAAGGCATACAATTCCCACTAGAATCACGTATCGCAAGTGTGAAGAATGCTGAGCAGGTGAAGGGCTGCCGGATTCTGGGGCCGTCATCGACAAAGCCGCCTACCAGGAGTGGCAGACAGAGGTGGTGGCCGCTTTCTATGAAGAGGGCCGCCGCTGCACCGAGCTGTTTCCCCAAACTGGGGCCCCGGCGGTGCTGCGGAAGCGGAAGTTCATCCTCTATGCTCTGGATGCTTCTGGCAGGACGGCCAGCTTGGTGGAATCCATGTCAGAGGATCTCCCTGAAAAGGAGCCGCTGATGATGTTCCATGTGGGCTCGCACACTCTGGATTATGTGAAGCGGGGTCTGAAAGACGGTGTCTTCTCGTACCCGGCTTGTGACCTTGGAGGACTTTCGAACTACCCGCAGAAGCTGGGGGAGGCTGCGGAGTACGTCGGAGAGCCTTTGGAGGTCAAGAAGAACAGCAACCTTTATGAGCACAGCAGATCTATTTGTCAGCAATGGCGGATCCTTGCCGAGGCTCTCTCTAAGTCGAATTGAACGGTTGCGCTGCATGAATGTAGACGTCGGGCCCTCATCAGCCGCTGACATCCCCTGACAGGTCAATTTGCCAGAGACCTTCGAAGCAGATCTCCAAACCTGGCTGGCCACCGCCATCATGGCGCTCGGCGGGGACGTGCAGCTGCGATTCTGGGCTCCCCCAGAGGACCGAAGGGGGGTCCGCTTCGAAACGGTGCCGCTGGGGTTTAGGGTTCAGGGTTGTTTGGGTTGTGGGGGGGTGGTCTGCTTGCAGGAGCACCGCGTGGTGGCCACGGCCGCCGACGTCCGGACCAGGACTGGACAATACTACACTCGGATCTTCAACGGCGGTGACGAGCGGTATGCGGAAAACTCGGATGCCACAGACCTCTTCTGCGGTGTCTGGAAAACCGGCATCACACCCAACTTGAACTCCAAGAACCTCCGGACAGAATACCGCCCATATGACCCCAGCTCCACATAGTAGACTTTCTGAATGGAGACGAGGATACTGCTGGTGTGCGACTGGCTGTGGATCGTGTGACACTTCTGGCGTCTGCAAAAGCAGCATGTCAGCTTTGCCAGCACCTGTAACAAAGAAAGAAGAGGTGAGTTCCGCCCGACTCTTGCCAATGTCCTGTGTATCAATCTTCTCGTTGCCCGTTGCTCCAGCAGTTTGCAAAGTTTGGCTGCTTGAGCTGCGTTCACATCCAGTGCACAGTGAGGATGGGCCGCGCAGTTGGGCAAAAAAGAAGTATACGCAGTCCGCAGCAGCATTGAGCAGTCATGGTTCTGAGACATTTTGAGACAACGCGTGCGCTCAGTGGTTTATGTTTGCTCACGGCTAAACTGCTAAAGTTTGAAGCAAAGTTCTTGGGTTTATGAGTGGATGTACAGTGCAATATGTTTGTAGGACCTATGGGATTCATAGGGTTTCTTAGTTGTGTGGCTTACAGGCTTACAGGCAAGTCAAGGTCCACAAGGTTTTAGGTTTTAGGGTTTCGGGTTTAGGGTTCAGGGTTTAGGGTTTCGGGTTTAGGTTGCATCATCGGCTCGACTTCACCGTCCTCTCCAGTCCGTACCAGAATGCAGGAATTGGACGTCCTGCCTCTCATCCTGGGTTGCTGTTCTTTAGGGTTTAGGGTTTCAGGGTTCAGGGTTTAGGGTCATGCGGTTTCTTTCTATGGTAATACAGTTCCTTAGCAGTAGCCAAGCATCCCGCATGCTCGCGTCCCTGACGATGAGCAGCCACCAGCCTCAGGCCGCGCGGGGATGGGGCCTCGGAGGCGAAAGTATGGTGGGGGTTCAACTAGGGCTTGGGGGTGTAGGGTGTAGGGTGTAGGGTTTAGGGTTTAGGGTTTAGGGTTTAGGGTTTAGGGTTTAGGGCTAAACCTAATTAATCCCCTCAACCAACCCCAAACCCTGAATGTCACCACCGAAGCGGGCGTCATCTCGCCGAGCGAAACAAACCTCGAACTCCCCGCACCCCTCAGCTTCCCAAAGCCCGAAAACCCAAAGTACCCAACCCCAAGTCTGCAGAGAGTCTCCCCTATTGCGCTGGTTTTAAACACTAGTCACTCACCACGCCCGAAGACCCGAAGAAAACCCGAACTTTTTGTAAAGAAGCCCTTAGCTTCGAACTCAAACCTCCGGCCCTCAACCCCCAAACACTCTTGATTCCCTCAACCCCAAGAACCACTTTAAAAACCCTCAACCCCTGAACCCCACAACCCCAAGACCCTAAACCCCTTAACCCTCAACCCTTCACCCCTAAACCCTATAATCCCTAAACCCTAAACATCTTAACCCTTTTAAAGCCTTTAAACCCGCAGCCCTGAACCAAAAAGCACCGCTGAGCATGTCAGGCGCTCTCCGGCATGGCCTGGGCAGAGCTGGGCGCCAACGCCGAGCACTGTCGTGTGGTGGGACAAGGGGGCTTCTGGTCTTTCAGGGTGAACTGCTGAAGGGCAGGTTTCTTCAGAGAAGTTCAGGAGGGTTTAGGGTTTAGGGTTTAGGAGGGTTCCTGGTAAGAGCTTTCGTGGACAACGCCCCGGATGTCGTAGAGGTCTCGGAAACATTGCCGAAAGACGAGTGTGTTGTGCCGATCGATGCCGAGGTGCGGATGCTGATCTCAGCGCAGTGAGCCCTGCCGCGCCCTGTAGCTGAAAAATGCGTTGGCTCCACATGTTTCCGCAACTGAACGGGGGTGTTTTGAAACCACTTCTCTTCTCGACACTCTGGTCCCGTTCGATGCCTGGGGCCCTCTTGTGTGTGCTGCGCCGGAGACCATAAGATCCCACTGCTGAGTGAGAGTTGTTGGTCCTTGGTTGCTTCTGCTTGCACTTTAGCCCCGTCTACTGTAGGCAGTCTGTTGGCAACACGGCCCAAGTGCGATCCTAGAGCCTGAGACAAGGCAGTGCTGGTTGCACGACATCCCACATCCACTGAGTTTCCCCCCCCTTTTGCTTCGAAGACCCATTCAGAGCAGACTCGGCCATGGGCTGCTGCGGTTCGCTTGACAAAGAGTCAGCGGAGAGGCCAGATGACGCTTTTGCCATGTCTCTTCTCATGGCTTTTGCCTTGGAGTTGCACCGGCAAAGCCAAGATGTGCAAGGAGCCCCCCAAAACCCTAAACCCTCAACCCTCAACCCTAAACCCCAAAAACCTTGTTGACTCTGCACAGGCTCGCTGCCGTGGAGCAGGAGATAAAGCAGTTCGAGTCCGCCACAGGCAGGGACGGCTTGGCGGAGGTGGCGAAATGTGCCAAGGAGCTCCGCGAGATTTTTGAGGAGGCGGTGGTTCAGAAAGGCAGCCAGGTAGGGTCTTGAGATGTTTTATATAACATGCTGGATTTTTTTCAACAGAATCATATATTTAGGAGATTTTCCAGAGGGTTTAGAGGGCCAACCTAGGCAGCATGACGATAGCTGCTCAGATAGAAGATCTGAGCGACGTCATGGTGCGGAACCTTGCCGGGCGCATCACGGTCGACTTGCTGAAGCCGGGTCCTGCCGAGTACAAGGCCCCTTTGTCATAGTTGGGTAGCATTATTTACATTTTTGAGGGTACTTAAACCCAATGAATAAGAAATTACATGTATTTGATATTATCCCAACATGAGCTAGAGGCGGTCGTGGATGAAATCATGGCGGCTGCAACCGACCTGGATGCAGTGCGCGCGACGAAGGCCACGAAGATGATCCAGGTTCAGATGGATAGGCAGCTCGATGCCATCACGGCTGCTCAGCAAAAGGCGGTGGAGCCCATCATCAGCAAGATCAAGGGCCTGCACGAGAAGCTGAAGCAGCCGGGACAAGCCAAGAATGTGGTTCCGGGCACCAAAGACATCCTGGACCTCATGGCGCAAGCACAGGCCTCTGCCCCCGAGGCCAAGGGCGTGGCGAAGCCCTTGCTGGAGCAGCTGGTTGGCCATGCGGTCTGGGTTCTTGAGGTGGAGTCCGCCTGGGCGAGTGCCGAGGCTTGCGAGCAGGTCTTGGGCCTCGCCCAACGAATCGACGAGCTGGCCGTCAAGCTCACGAAAACCCTCGCGGCCACATGGGATCCGGCCATCACTCCCCAGGTCGAGGGCATCAGGGATGACAAGGCCCAGGCGGCCTGCGCCCAGCTCGTGGCCGAGGCGGACAAGGAGCTGGCGGCGGACAACGGCGGCGCGGCGTACCACTGCTTGCAGGCGCTCCTGCCCTGGTGGCCACACCTCAAGAAGAGCCACTCCTTGGAGGTTGTTGGCATCTTCAGCAAGATGCAGACCTACGCCAGCGACGCGTTCATGCAGGCCACCGCCGATGGCCAAACGGCCACGGCCGAGGAGATTCGAGGCTTCGCAGTGCAGTTTGACGAGCTCCGGGGGAAGCTTCTTGGCCTTTTTTGGATTCTGGGTTGCCAATTCCAAAAAAGCAACACCAAGACCAAAACGCCCAGAAAAGCAAGCGCAGGGTACCTAGAATACCCCTGAGATGATGTGACATAGTAGTCCCCTACTAAGGTTTGACGGCCTCCCTGCGTCTTCGGGTCGGGCCTTGGGCGAAGTCCTTGAGACCGGCGAAGCCCGGGTCCAGGTGTCCAAGGCCTTGGAGACCATCGACGCAGAGATCGCGAAGCTTACTGCTGGTTAGCGGGGAATGAGGGAATGAGGGCCCCATATTTCTATACCCTTTAAGGGATTCTATAGGGTACCCTCATGTCCCCTCATTGCCCTACAGAAGCAGCCGTGAGGAAGGAGAAGGACGATGACGACAAGACCAACTTGAGCCTTGGGAACACAATTCAGGCTCTCGAGTCCCTGGTGGTGGCTTGGGCTCTGGCCACTTCCAGCGAGGGCGAAGATCTCCAGAAGCGCATGCTGAGCAGCTGCTTACTGTTGGTTAGTAGGGAATGAGGGAGTGAGGTATGCTAATATATTCCCTTGAAAGGGAATGACATATATATATATATACATATATATATATATATATATATTTAAGGGGCTGCGCCCATGGGCGGGCAGCGCAGGCAGAAGCGCGGGGCGAGCAGTTTCTAAGCATTTTGAGGCCCCTAATCTCTAAGCGTTTGAGGCTCCTCAACCCCCTCAAAGTTTCCAAGCATTTTCAGGCCCCTAAACTCCCTTCAAATCTCTAAGCGTTTGAGGCTCCTAGACTCCCTTAAAGTTTCTAAGCACTTCATAAGGCCCCTAAACTCCCCTTTTCCTAGCCCCGCGCTTAGACACATCGCTTATGCCCGCCCTTTGGGGGGCATCATGCTCCTGATGCGCCCCCGGGGTCCCGCCCCGGGAGCCGCTGATGCTCCTGATGCGCGCCTGGGGGTCCCGGGCTGGACCCGCTGATGCTCATGATGCGCGCCCTCTGGGGGCCTCCGTGGCGACGCAAAAAACCACGAAAAAAAAACCGTTCACCGGCGGCACGCGGGGGTCGGCGGCACTGGCGTCCGGCCTAATTCTGCTTCGCAGAAGGCCAGAGGCCAGCAAGGCTATTCCCGGGACGACCCGGGCTAAAAGGTCCGCATTTGCTCGGTCCTTTGGGGACCTCGCGCTGCCCGATTTAATGGCTACCGCCAGTGCCGCCGACCCCAGACCCAAGACAGTCGCATTGGGGCGGAAGGCAGGGTGGAGCGCGGGCAGGCGGGGGGGGCGGGGGCGGGGGGGGTGGGGGTGGGTGGGGGTGGAAAGGGGTGGGGGGTGTGGGGGGTGACGGTAGAGGGTTGGTGTCGGATTAGGGAGTTGGGGGCGGAAGGCAGGGGTGGACTGGGGGGCATAGAGATGAAGAAGCGATGAGAGCGGTGAGAGCGGGGGGGCGGTCGGATGGTGCACGATGGTGGGAGGGGGTAATGATGAGGGCTGGGGAGGGTTGGTGGGAGGGTTAGGGAGTGGGAGTGGGGCGGCGGAAAGGGGGCCTGACTCATTTGACCAGCTCTGGTGAGAGGGTTGGGGCGGAAGGCAGGGTGGAGCGCGGCGGGTGGACGGGGAGGGTTGGTGGAGTTGGGGGGAGTGATGAGAGTGGGGAGGCGGTTAGGGCGGGGATGGAATCCCTCAGATTTGTCAGGGGCGGAGTAGGGGGTGGGGCCCAGGAGGGAAGCGGCAGGGCGGGCATGGACTGGAATCCTTAAAACACTAGAGATAGGGGGCAGGGGCGGGGGTGGGGGGGGTGGGGGGTGGGGGGGGGGGGGGGGGGTGGGGGAGGGTTGGGGGGGGGGGGGGGTGGGGGGGTGAGGGTAAAGGGTTGTGGTCAGGCAGGGGTGGACTGGGGGGGCATAGGGGGGGGGGGGTGGGGGGGGTGGGGTGTGGGGGGGGTGGGGGGGGGAACAGATTCGGTCGTTGTTTGGCCCTGCGGCTGACACGGATGTCGATCCTGACCGAACTTCGGCTCTCCGGGCACTGGAGCCTCACTTCCCTCACTTGAGATTGGATAGTCAACATACTATCCTCAACCATCGAGACTTGGCACAGGCAGCTACGGAAAAGTTAAGCACGTACCTTCTTGCGGGCAGCGGTGGGGGGGGGGGGGTGGGGGTGGTCGGGCATGCACTGGGCCCTTTAAACCACCTGAATGGATGGGGGTCAAAGGTCCAATTCAAGGCGTCATGGGTGAGGGCGATGGGTGGCGGGGTTTGGGCATGCACCGAAGCCAAACAATGCAAAAACACTCCAATTCAAGGTGTCATGAGCAGCATGGAGGGCGGTGAGGGCGGTGGGGGTCTTCACTGACGCCGCCCTGCTACCGCTGGGGTCGGCGGATATATGTCATTCCCTTTCAAGGGAATATATTAGCATACCTCACATACATATATACATATCTATACAGGGAGATATAGAGCAACACTAAGGCTGTGCGGCCCTGGAGGCCTGGACACAAGAGGCCGTCGCCAAGGGCCCTGTGGGCCAAGTGGCGGGCTTGCTCCAGTTTGCGCAGGAGTACGACGGCCGCCGGGCGAAGCTGACGGATCCGGGCGAGCTGCTGCGGCCGCGTCTGGCCTCGCAGGCCGCCGAGAGGTTTCTGCGCCAAGCCGAGAATGCCAGGGCCTCAGTGGCTCTCTGACAACGGCATTGTAAAGGCTTAGGAGCAACACATTGTTGTGATTCCTTCACCCCTCTCCACCCTAGACGTGCCGAGCCCCATGTCTTCAGTCTTATCCTAGAACAACCCCCTGGTTCTTAGGAGGGAATGATGGAATGAGGGAATGAGGGAATGAGGGAATGAGGGAATGAGGGAATGAGGGTATAAAAACCCTTCAAGGGATTCTATAGGAACCTGATTCAGCTTCATCCCCTACGCAGAACCAGCCAGAACCAAAAGTTGAGATCAGGAGTTGGCGAAGTCCAGCGGCATGAAGGCAAACGTACTCCTGGAGAGCCTCAAAGCCGCGGCGGCTGCCATCCCCGGCGAGAGCGGCTCGCCGGAGGCTCGCACGCTGCTGCTGAATGTCATGGCTGCCACCCAGGACCCTACCAGAGCTCAGTTTTTCAAAGTGTTCAAAGGTAGTTGTTCCGTGCTGCAAACTGAGCATAGCATCGGTGGCAGGACCGGCTCCTCACATCCTTTGCAGACATCCTTACCGACGGAGAGAATGAGAAGAAGGAGGTGATGTTGCTGAAGTTCGCAGAGTCTGCCGATGAGGTGCAGAAGGCCTGCTCAATCGATGGGATGTCGCTCGTGGAGGCAATGAAGCAGAAGCGGGTCGACACCGCCGACGAGCTGACCAGCAGGCTGAATGATCAGCTGTCAGCCGGGATGATGTCCGTCACCGGCGATATCTGCACACTGGCCAGACTCTGCAAGAAGCTGCCTGCCGATGCTCCACAGCAGGGGCCTGCCAGGGCAGCAGCCGAGAAGTTCATTCAGAAGGCCTCCCAGAGCCCGAGCGGGGCGGAAGAAGCCCTTCAGGGCATCGAAAGCCTGGAGCAGGCCCTCATAGACCTGGGATGCAAGACCGCTGGGTTCCGGGAGGAGCTGGTCTCCCAGGCCGCGCGGTTCAGATTCGAGGGGAGGATTTTAGGGTGATTAGGGGTTTTGTAGGGGGAAATTTGCAGCCAACATGTATATACGACACTGCTTCAGGTGTTTTCACGTGATTTCTGCTAGAGGGTCCTCCAGAGATGCGTGTTCGACCCTCGGGGACCCCGACCTGTGGAGTAGAGTTCACGTCGTGTACCACTCCACAAAGGGTTAGCGCATGTACATGTAGGGTGGCTAAGCACGATTCAACGAGTGAGCAATTCAAACGGCTGTGTCTCCAGGGCATGTCTAGAAAACCACGTGTGTTGCTTAGGTGTTGCGTTCTCACCTGGCCACAGCTCGGGCAGAAACGACCTCGGACGCACTGGGACGAGAACTGGGACTCTTGGAGCAGATCTGCCGCAACAATGACGTGCCCGCCGCGGTTCTCGCAGAGATCCAGGCATTCGTGGACGAGCTGCCGGACACCATGCTGGCCATGATGAAAGCGGCCCGCATCTCAGTTGTTCCATGAAGTCAGGTAGCCATTGCACAACCCAAAATCCCTAAACCTTAAACCCCGAACATATGCATCTCCCAAAACCCTAAGCCCCAAACCCCAAGCCCTGAACATAGGATGCACCTCCCAAAACCCTTCAAGCCCTAAACCCTGAATCCTAAACCCTGAACCCTAAACCCCAACCCCTAAGCCCTCCCCCATTCTACATGCCCAAGGCTGGCAAATCGGGCGCGCAAGGCGTTTTGGATGCCGGAGCGCTGGCCGAGAAGCTCGCAGTGGCCGTTACTTTTGCTGGATTTTACCCTAAACCCTAAACCCTAAACCCTAAACCCTAAACCCTTTATAATTGTGGTTACAAGTACCCATGAACCTCGTAAGGTGAGCAGATCAGAGGCCGGCGCTGCTCTCAGCTCGAAGCTGCAAAGCGCCCAGAAGGCGGCTCTAGTTCTCGAAGAAGTCTATGGTGACCCCCCGTTTAGGGTTTAGGGTTTAGGGTTTAGGGTTTAGGGTTTAGGGTTTAGGGTTTAGGGTTTAGGGTTTAGGGTTTAGGGTTTAGGGTTTAGGGTTCTTCCCCCTAATTGCGGTCCCCCGAAGATAACATGGGCCACCCTTAGAATAGAAGAGACCCCCTGAAAGGACGCCTAGGTTTCTGAACCCCAAACCCCAAACCCCAAACCCCAAACCCAAACCCCAAACCCCAAACCCCAAACCCCAAACCCTAAACCCTAAACTGGCCCTAAACCCTAAACCCTAAACCCCAAGCCCTAAGCCCTAAGCCCTAAACCCTAAACCCTAAACCCTAAACCCTAAACCCTAAACCCTAAACCCTAAACCCTAAACCCTAAACCCTAAACCCTAAACCCTAAACCCTAAACCCTAAACCCTAAACCACCACCAGGTGGTCTCTTCGCTGGAGCTCGCCACGGCAGAGCTGCAGAAGAGTGCTGGGATGAACCCGCGCACCGTGGTGGCCGTCCTGAAGGACCCTTACTTACTCAGCGAGTAGTTGAGGGGTTTAGGGTTTAGGGTTTAGGGTTGAGGGTTGAGGGTTGAGGGTTTAGGGTTTAGGGTTTACGATTTTTATTGTTTTTAGGGTTTAGGGTTTAACTTGTTGGGTTTCCTGATTTCGTAGGAATCACAAGCTTTAACCCTGTTTTCCCCTGTGGTTAGTGGGAGAAGCAAAGGACCTGCCGCCGCAGCTGCAGCCGATTATGGGCTCCCCGGCATACGTGCAGGGCATCAGCGACTTAGTCGCGGAATTGAGCGCACGTTACACCCTTTTTGGGGTACTTCAATTTCTCAATGAGTGCACTTTACACCTTTTTGGGCATACTTCAAGCCCCTAATGAGTGCACTTTACACCTTGTTTGGGATTCTTAAAGTAGATCCCCTCTGGAACTGAAGGTGCACACTTTTTGGGGCACTTTTTGGGGCCTTATGAACTCAGCAACGAAGGTGAGGTGATCGAGCAGTTCAAGGGCAAGCTACGCGATGCCTGTGGAAAGGCCCAGGAGGTCGGGGATGCCCACTCTAGGGTTTAGGGTTTAGGGTTTAAGGTTTATAGGTTTCGAGGGTTTTTTCTAGGGTTCTAGGGTAAAGGGTCTAGGGTATTGTAGGGTTTAGGGTTTGTAGGTTTCGAGGGTTCTAGGGTAAAGGGCTTAGGGTTTTTGAGTTCTAGGGTAGGGTTTATAGGAGAAAAATGCAAGCACCCTTCGCCCATCGAAGAGGCCGATGCCGCCACGCGCGAGAAGAAGGTGGCCGCGCTGCTTCAGTTGGCCGAGGAGGGCGACGCCGCGCAGAGGGAGCTGGCTGCTCTGGGGCTGCCTGGGCCTTTCAAGGTGGGCACATGTTTCCAAGATAGGGGTTTTTGTTTGAATAGACCGCCAGCATGCTCTAATACGTATTAAGGAATCCTACAAAAGACTATATGAAAGCTACAAAGTCCTTTTTCTGGGAACCCCGCCCCCCTCCCAAGAAGGGCACAAAGCCCCCTGTTGTTTCGGAAGTCCCCCCCCCCTCACTCCCCACTCCTGCAGGTGGACAGCTTTGCACAGGTGATCCACGGCTTCGTGATCCAGTGCGGTTTCTTAGCAGCTGAATGAGTACACTTCGCACTTTTTGGGGATACTGCAATCCCCTATAGAACTGAAAGTGTACACTTTCTTTAGGGCTTCTGAACTCAGCAACTAAACTGTACGCCCTACACCCTACACCCTGCATCCTACACCCTACACGCTACACCCTAAACCCTAAACCCTGAACCCTGAACCCTAAACCCTAAACCCTAAACCCTAAACCCTAAACCCTAAACCCTAAACTCAGGCTTGGAGGCGGCCGAGGCGGAGCTCTCCAAGGAGACGGGCATGAACCCCAAGGCAGTGCTGGCGGGACTGGCGGAGGCGAGCAAAGCCTCCTGGCAGCCCAGTGTTTTGATAGCCCTAAACCCTAAACCCTAAACCCTAAACCCTAAACCCTAAACCCTTTTTCCTTCCTTTTTCCTTCCTTTTTCCTTTTTTTGGTGGTTCAGGGTTCTCTTCTAAAGTAACCCGCCCAAAAGAAGGGTGCCCTTGTTATGATACGGTTGCTGGGCTACTCCGAGGCCTTGCCACGCCTGGATCCCGAACTTTCCTCCGACTGCGATGCTGAGGGACTGCGAACTCGGGCCATGGAGTCTTGTGACAAAGCTCCTTGGTAGGTGTTGTGTACCCTTTTTCCCCTTTTCTTGTGGTTCAAGGTTCCCTTCTAAAGCCATTGATTACCCGACCCCCAAAAGGGTGCCCTTCTTGCAAATATGGTTATTCGGCTACTTCCAGGTGAGCAAGCGGATGATCGAGTCTCTGGAGGAGGCGGTGACCGCGTCCAACGAAGCCAAGCAGAAGGCGCTGCTCAGCTTCGCCAAGGAGTTCGATGCCGCCTGCAGTGCCTTGGTGGCCCACAGTGGTACCCTTTACTGGTTTGTTTGTGTTTTTTAATGTTTTTTTTTTTTGGGGGGGGGGGGGTTAGGGTTAGGGTTCAGGGTTTAGGGTTTGGGGTTTAGGGTTTGGGGTTCAGGGTCTTGGGGAGGGGTGCTGGGTTCCCTTATAAAGTAGCCAACCCCATTCAAAGGGTGCCCTTGTAATATGGGTGCTGGGCTACCAAGGTGGTCTCACCAGCAGTTCTCTGGAAGCAGAACTGCAGACACGCGCGCGAGTCTAGCACAGCTTTCAGCCGGGGTTTAGGGTTTAGGGTTTAGGGTTTAGGGTTTAGGGTTTAGGGTTTAGGGTTTAGGGTTTAGGGTTTAGGGTTTAGGGTTTAGGGTTGTCCTTGTGCTGACAAAGCTCAGTGGATGGATCATGTGCAGTGGATGTTGGACCCAAGAGCGGCCATTCAATTGACGAAGCTGGGCACCCTGCAAATATCAACTTGCTGTCTCCCTAAACCCTAACCCCTAAACCCTTCAACCCTCTACCCCTCTACCTTAAACCTGAAACCCTCTACCTCTCAACCCTAAACCCTAAACCCCCTCACCCTAAACCCTAAACCCCTTCACCCTAAACCCCAAACAGTCACCCCGAAACCGCGCTCGCCGTCCTTTCGTCTCAGACTGTAGGTGGATTGCCGCACCCAGGAGATGGGGTTTAGGGTTTAGGGTTTAGGGTTAAGGGTTTGGAGTTTGGGGTTTGGGGTTCAGGGTTGAGGGTTTGGGGTTTAGGGTTTGGGGTTCAGGGGTTATGGAGTACTTGACACCACCTTTCGTTTTTAGGGATTTCCGGGTTCTTTCGATTTCTTGGAGGCTTTACAGAGTTTTCGGGCATCAAATCGGGCTTTAGGGTGAAGAAAAGGGTTTGAGAATTTGGGAGATGGCCTCCTGGATACTCTAAACCCTAAACCCTAAACCCTAAGCCCTAAACCCTAAACCCTAAACCCTAAACCCTAAACCCTAAACCCTAAACCCTAAACCCTAAACCCTATTTACTCCAAAGCCTCTCCCGCAGCTCCTCAAAGTCCCCCACGTTGAGCCCTAAGCCAGCAGAGTTTCAGGGTTTTTAGGGTTTCAGGGTTATTAGGGTCTTTAAGGGATTTTAAGGGTTTTGAGGGTAAACCCTAAGCCCTATAAACCCTAAAACAGGGGTTTTAGGGCTACGTGACCTGCCATGGCTGCTGCTCGCGCCTGTCGCCTCTGACCCCGCAGGCGCGCTCCGTAGGCCTTCTTGTCAGCACTGCGGTTTAGGTTTCGTCGGGTTTAGAGTTCAGGGTTTATGGTTCAGGGTGCAGGGTTTAGGGTTTAGGGCTTAAGGTATAGGGCCTTCATCAACACAGGAGCCCCATAAACCTAAAATCACAGTCCGAACCCGAAAATTACAGTCTGGTAGAGGTGAAGCACTTGAAGCGGGTGCTTTAAGGCTCAAGGTCTGGGGCCCTAATGCACGGAGCCTAAGGTTCATATGGATTGAGTGAACGTTGTATTCTCCTACTGTGACGGGATGCTTTGGGCGGGTGGGTATTTTTCCAAGGCTCGAGAATTGCTTGACGAGAAAAAGCTAGAACATGAGATGTTGAGCTAGGGTCTATATTAGGGTCTATAGTAGGGTCTATAGGGTCTAAAAGATCTCTAAATTCTATAGAAGGGTCTATAGGATCGATAAGATCTAGAGGGTCTATAGTAGGGTCTATAAAGGGTCTATGGGGGTTTAGGTTTCAGAGTCTACAGGGTGCAGGGTTTAAAGGGGTTTATCGGGCCCCTAAACCTTTCAACCCCGAAGCCCTGAGTCCCTAAAACACTTAACCCCCGGAGTCCCAAAATCTCTCAACCCTAAACCCTAAAAGCCTCCAAGCCCCAACCACCCCCCCCCCCCCCCCCCCCAAAAAAAAAGAGAGCAAAAAGCAAGATGAAGTTAGCAAAAGGAAGAAAAGAGTAAACAAAACCAAAGCCAGAAATGCCCATAAACTGACGATAAACGCAGCTGAGCATGTCAGGCTCTCTCCCACATGGCCTGGGCAGTGCCGGGCGTCACGCCGAGCTCCGTCACGTGGCGTGACAAGTGGCTGCTGTCTGTAAGGGTTTAGGGTTTAGGGTTCAGGTTTCAAGGTTTAGGATTTAGGGGCTTTTGTGTGTTCAGTGTTCAATGGGCTTTAAGGACAATAGGGGTTCAGGGCTGTCGGGTTTGGGTTTTAAGGGTTGGTCTTGGAAGGCTGTCTCCAGCTTCCTTTCATGATTTTTTTGTGTTAGAATTTAGGGTTTAGGGTTTAGGGTCACGGCGTGCTTCAAGGCACTGAAGGGAGCCTCGGGGCATGACAGAACGTGCAGAAGCTCCAGCCGGCCCGTCAAGCCCAAAACACCCTGATGTTCAGCAGGGGGTGCTCTAGTCCCTATTATATTATAGTACCCCCCCGAGTAGAGTCACTATTAAGGACTGTTAGGATAAGAGGGAACATCCCAGCCTTAAGCTAACTAAGCTGAACTCCTTAACCGAGCAACCCTAAGACCTAGATCCTGAAACCCTATAGCCTATTCTTCTCTAAAACGCAAAAACCCCTAACGCTCTACAACCCTAAATCGCTAATCTTCCCTAAAGCCCTGTACCCCAAAAACCCTAAAACAACTCTACCCCAAATCCCTAATCTTCCCTAGAGCCCTCCACGTGCTGTCCAGTCAACCTACACCCCTCGCACTGCCGCCTCCGCGAGCGCCGCGTCAGGGGCCCTTTTTGTTTGGGAGCTCGGGGGGGGCTTCTGGGTGTAGGTTTAGGGGCTTACTAGGGGTTTGGGGGGTTTAGGGGGTTAGGGGGTTTAGGGGGGTACTAGAAGTTAGGGCTTAGGGTTTATGGTTCAGGGTTTAGGGGGATTCTTGGATCTCGGGTTGAGGACCGAAGAAGGCGGGGTTGAGGGGCTTTGGGATGGCGGACTTTTTTGGAGTCTGGGGTTGCCGGGTGTTTCGGGGTTTTGGGTTTAAGGCTTTATCGCTTAGTTACGTGAGAAGGGGGCTTAGGCTAAATGAGTGAGTCGAGGTTCGAAGCCGGGGAAAAGATCGGGTTGTGAAAGGGAAAATCGGGTGTAGGGGGCTGAAAGATGCGCACTTGATGGTTTGGGGTCTTGAATTATTTAGGTACGACGGCCAAGCCCTAAACCCCCCCCAAACACAGGCAGCTGATCCCAAACGCAAAATCCCAGACGGCATGGGGTTTAGGTGGCCAAGAAACCCTGTCAAACTGTCAACTGCGCACCCTCTCAACCAGCAACCCTACACCTTCTACCCTAGCAGTTTAGGGTTTCGGCTTTAGGGTTTAGGGTTCATGGGTACTTATACCCACAATTATAAATCTACCTATAACCTACTTAGGGGACTTAGGTGGCTTATACGTGCAGTTATACTTGGGGTTGTAAGTACCCTGAACCTCCAAGGCCTTAGCCGCGTAGGAACCCCTGACCGTAAACCTTAATAAAGCCCTGACAACCCTGGAGCCTCGCAAACCCGAACCCTTCCCTAAACCCTAAACCCTAAACCCTAAACCCTAAACCCTAAACCCTAAGCCCTAAACCCTAAACCCTAAACCCTAAACCCTAAACCCTAAACCCTAAGCCCGCCGCCCCACTCTCTTGTCTTTTGGGGTAGGCGGGCGCTGGTCGAGCGCTCAGTGTGGCTTACCCTCCAGGCAGGCACAGGCCGAGTCAGCAGTTGTCACTGTATTAACCCGAAACCATGCTGTCCGCGCACATTGTTCGGTCCTGCATTGGGGGCCCCCTGGGAGAGCTCCTGGAGACCCCCGGGTCCCTAGCCCCCGTCCGCTAGACCAGGGCCGTTTTGTTGGGGCTTGGCCGCCCCTTCGCGCCAAGTTTTGTGTTGCCTACCCTGTGTTCCTGGCTCTGGGTTCCTGGCCATAGCCCCTTCGCGCCAACCAAGCTGTCCACCACTGTCTTCGCCCCTTCGCGCCAACCCAAGCCGTCCGCACAGTATTCGCTGGCCCTGCGCCTTAGCCCCTTTGCGTCTGCGCACGCGGCAGGCAGGGCTGTTGCCTCCCTGCCCTTGTCCTGGCCCCAAAAGGGCGTGAATGCT